GTGGTACTGAGGAATCCAACCCAGGGCTTCATGCATGCTAGGCAAGCACTCTACCACTAAGCCACATTCCCAGCCCCTCCCTGAGCTCTTTGCTCAAGGCAGCACTCTTCCACTATGAACCACAGTGCCACTTCCAGTTTTTCAGTAGTTAATTGGAGATAAGAGTTTCACAGGGACTTTTCTGCCAGACTGGGTTCAAACTGTCATACTTAGATCTCAACCTCCTGAGTAGCTAGGATTACGGGTATGAGCCACTAGCACCTAGCTCCTTTAAACAACGAGAGGAGGGGGGAAAAAAGCAGGACTGAGTGTAAAAAGAACAAACTGAAAACTATCCAGATGTTCTGTACCTGAAAGATCAGGGGGTAAACATCAGGAATTAATGATGATTCAAGTAAGTATTGTTAGAGCTCCAAAATACCACCCTTAAAACTTGACAAATTTAGCCTGGTGCCAGTGGCTCATGCCTATAATTCAAGTTACTCAGGAGGCTGAGATCTGAGGATCACAGTTCAAAGCCAACCCGGGCAGGAAAGTCCAAGAGACTCTTATCTCCAATAAACCATCAAAAAAACTGGAAGTGGCGCTGTAGCTCAAGTGGTAAAGCACTAGCCTTGATCTGAAGAGCTCAGGGACAGCGCCCAGGCCCAGAGTTTAAGCCCCACAACTGGGGGGGGGGGGAGGAGGGAACTTGACAAATTTTGTACAGTATCTTTTTGTTTCTTTCTACTGTTGGGGATCAAACCCAAAGCCTAGAAGATTTTAGGTAGGCAGGTACTCTACTACTAAGCTGCACCTCTAGTCCTATATTTTAACTTAATTATTTTTGTTGATTGTAGGGCTAGACCTTAGGGCCTAGGCACTGTCCCTGAGCTTTTTTTTTCTCAAGGCTAGCACTCTCCCATTTTAAGCTGCAGCTCTACTTCTGATTTTCAGGTGGTTAAATGGAGATAAGGGCCTCATGGACTTTCCTGCTCGTGCTGACTTCAAACTGAAATCCTCAGAGATCTCAGCCTCCTGAGTAGCTAGGATAAGCTTGAGTCACCAATACCCAGCCATATTTTAGTTTTTTGAAATGAAAACCACTAAGCTGCTTCACTTCCCTTGAATTTGCAATCCTCTTGCCATAGCGTCAGTAGTTTCAAGAGGCAGTTTTAGGTATACACCATGCCTGGCTGGTAAGATTCATATTAAAGCCAAGGTAAGAGGTAGTAAAATTTATGACATAAAATATACTGAAAAGCACTGAAGGCCACCTGTTATCCTGTACTCTAAAATTTGCTACATTCATATTTTCCGATTTATTTCTTACCTCTTTATTCATACTTCTGAATATATTTTCATGGACCAATTAAAGCCATAAGCACTAAAGAAACTGGTTGCCACAGCTCTTTTTTTTGGGTTGTTGTTGTTTGTGCTGGTCCTAGAGCCTTAATTCAGGGGCTGGGTTCTGTCCCTGAGCATTTTTTTTTTTCTTTTTCTCTTTCTCAGGGCTGGGAAGTTGGCTCAGTGGTAGTGTTTGTCTTGCATGCATGAGGCCCTAGGTTCAATTCCTCAGAACCACATAAGCAGAAAAAGCCGGAAGGGGTGTTGTGGCTCAAGTGTTAAGAGTGCTAGCCTTGGGCTGGGAAGGTGGCTCAGTGGTAGAGTGCTTGCCTCGAATGCATGAGGCCCTGGGTTCGATTCCTCAGCACCACATAAGCAGAAAAAGCCGGAAGTGGCACTGTGGCTCAAGTGGTAGAGCGCTAGCCTTGAGTTGAAGAGCTGAGGGGCAGCACCCAGGCCCAGAGTTCAAGCCCCACAACCGACAAAAAAAAAAAAAGAGTGCTAGCCTTGAGCTGAAGAGCTGAGGGACAGCGCCCAGGCCCAGAGTTCAGGCCCATGACCGGCAAAAAAAAAAAAGCCAGTGCTCTACCACCTGAGCCACAGCTCCACTCTGCACCTGAGCCACAGCTCCACTTTTGGCTTTTTGATGGTTAACAGATAAAGAACTCCACAGATATTCCTGCCTGGGCTGGTTTTGAATCACTATCCTCAGATCTCAGCCTCCTATATGGCTAAGATTACAGGTGTGAGCTACCAGCACCTGGGTTAATCTTCACTTTTGAAACCTGTTTCTCTTCAGAATCCATTCCTCATTTTCACTTTAAGTTATATCTAGAAAGTCTTTCTTTTTATTTAAAAAAAAAAGAAGTGTTTATCAAATCATGGTCCTTGTTAAGTTCTTAGTATAATTTTCAAGTCTGAGTATGGTGGCTCTTGTTTATAATCCATTACTCTAGGAAGTGTAGATCAGGAGAACTTTAGTTCAAAGATAGCCTCGGCAAAGAGTTAGGGAGATTCCCCCTCAACAAATAAGATAGGCCTGGTGGTGGACATCTGTAATCCCAGGTAGGAACGAGGCAAAGAAAGAACCACTGCAGTCCAAGACCAGTCCCAGTCTTCCATCCATAACAAGACCAAAAGCCTGGGGTATACTAAAGGGGTAGAACATCTGCTTAGCAAGCATAAGGACATGAGTTCAAACACCAAAACAGAAGAATTTTCAATAGTTTCCTCATTATCTATAAAATTAAAAAAAAGCTCATATTTGCAGGCTCGGCACTTAAACCCCTCTGTAATATCACAATAATAATAGCCTATACTTGAATATGAGGATTTTACTGTGGTGCTATCAGTCTGCCTTTCTTTCAAAAATATTGTATCTATTCCTATCTATATGCCTTTGTTCCTTTCTAAAAATACTGTCTTGTGTACTCTGTCAATTTAAATACTGTATCTAAGGCTCATCTCAAATCTTACTCCTGGGCTAGGAAGTTGGCACAGTGGTAGAGTGCTTGCCTACATTCATGAGGCCCTGGGTTTGATTTCTCAGTACCACATAAGCAGAAAAAAAAAAAAGTGGCACTATGGCTCAAGTGGTAGAGTGCTAGCCTTGACCTGAAGAGCTGAGCGACAGTGCCCAGGCCTAGAGTTTAGGCCCCACAGCTGACCAAAAAAAAAAAAAAAATTAATTAATTAATTTAATTTAATTTAAAAAAAAAAACTCCTTTGCCATGAGGCATTTTCTGGTCAAGATGTTTTATTCTTCTGAATTCCTACAGTGACAGGGCATAGTGACACATACCCATAATGCCAGCACTTGGGAGAAGTAGGAGGATCTCAATGCCATCTGGGCTACATACCAAGACTGGGCCTCTGAATACAAACCTATGTATGACATGTGTGTCTATGTTACTTATGTTGCATATTATCTTCTACTGTTAGTTTTATGTTGAATCATTCTCTCCTCAATAGACTTTAACAATGTGCTAAATTCCCATATACTCTAGGCACAGAGACAAGTTTTCAATAGTTCGTTGACTTTTAAGAAAAAACACTGACCATTTATAAAAGTCATTTCTCTCTAGGTGCTAGTGGTTCACGCCTATAATCCTAGCTATTCAGGAGGCTGAGATCTGAGGTTCATGGCTTGAAGCTAGTTCAGGCAGAGAAGTCTGTGAAAGAGTCTCAACTCCAATTAACCATCAAACATCTGGAAGTAGAGCTATGGCTCAAGTGGTAGAATGCCAGCCTTGAGCTGAGAAAAAGCTAGAGGACAGTGCATAAGCCCTGAATTCAAGCCCCAGTTTCAGCAAACACACATACATGTACACACACACTAAGAATTTTCTCCTGCATTTTGGCTTTATAATCAAGGAAATAAGCACTATCAGTAAAGCAGATCAATTGAGTGTCTACTACATTCACATTTAGGCAAAAAAAGGGTTAATGAAGAAACTTAATCCCAAAGTGTCATCAGTACTATATTAACAAAAGTTTCCAGGACTGGAAACATAGTTCATATATTAGGCAAATGTTTGCCTATCATGAGACCCTAGTAAAGAAACAAACAAACAACAGTACTACCACTAAAGTCTCCTTCAAGGACAAAAACTAGGATCAAGAAAACTAGGCACTGAATAAATCAGAACCTTAAAACTACACTTAAAGGTCCCTCTATTTTTTCTAACTTTCAGGAAATTTCCCTCTCACCATTAAATATCTTCCAAAATTCTATTCTAACATAGGAATTATATATAATGTTTTGAAATTTCCTAACATTTCAAAAGGCATTTCAAAAGGTCCCTCTGTTAAATACAGAGGGACCTTTACCCACCAGCGATTACTAATGATTCAAAGTACTTACTACATTACATCTACATACTGTTCATTGTCTTCTATACATGTTCTCCTAAAAAAGTATACTGGAACAGACAGTTCCCAAAAAACAAAGACTGTATTTACAATGTTTTACATGGATACTATACGTTATTTATATGTGTATACACACACACATATATATGTATATACACATTCATTATGCTCACGCTATGTAATATATACTATGCCAAATAACTATAATGTGAAAAAAAAATGAACTCTGCCTTTACCAATCCCATATACTAGGTTAGAGCTCACTATAATACACTCACACAATACTCTGCATTGCCTTTAATAAGAATTTAACATTAATTGCATAGTTATTTGTGGAATGTCCACTTTTGCAACCAACTGTAAGTTTTCTTAGGGCAGATTTGTCTTTTTCTCTCATGTATGTATTCCTGTGATGTATTCATTCATGTGATATATAAACTGCATCAGATGCTCAATTTCAGATATATAAACTTCATCATATGCTTGATTTTGGAGGTTAACTGGATATACAACACATTATAAACAGGAAGGTTAAAGGGATGGAAATTGTTGCTAAATTCGAAGTACAAGACTGGAGGTATAAATAAGAAGAAAATACCACCTTGTAAATATTGAGCATACGAAACATAAGTGAAAGACTTCAAAAAGGACATAATTTCCTTAAAAAACAGGTATCAAATATAAATGCCACAGAACTTTCCTGGGACTTTCATGGAGGATTAGCATGAAAGGAGGTGTAACTACCTCCCCCCACCAACTACGCAGGATTGCCAAGGCAGCGCAGTGGGGAGGGAGATACGTACTGGGCGAATGTCTGCTGAGCTCCAGCTCTGGTCTCTCCAGGCTGCTCTGAAAGTCAGGAGGCAGCAGGGAAGCCACTCCCTCAGGCTGGATCATCTCGTCCTCCGACTCAGCTGAAGCTTCTGCAAAGTACAGATTGGGTCGGGGCAGGGAGGGAGTGAAGGGCTCAGCATATGGGAATATGTAGAGGAGTGAGGGATATCAAAGTCATAGATACAGAGATGTATACCAAAAAGAGCACTATACATAAGGAAGAAACACTAGAATTAAGCTCTACTTCATGTAAACAGTAGCTTACATTACTTACAACTCTTCCTTTTGGCAGGAATTGTTTTCTATTAGAAAAGTGAAATTAAATGTCCCTTTCATTGACAAAGGTAAACATTAACTCATTTGGCTCCAAAAAATACCAGCGCAAATGAGCAGCAGTCTCACCCTGGCTTAATCCTGAAATTGCCTAGTTAGACCTATCTACTTGGTAACAAGGATAAAATTGAAAAACTTGTTAGAAATGACAATCTGGGCTTACCTTCAAGTTCTGCAGCTTCTCGAGCTTCACGTTCTAGACGCTGCCTAAGTAGCTCTTGCTGCTTTTCCAGATACTGCTTTATGAAACTGTTCTTACTCATTTCTTCCCCAATCTGTATAAAGGAAAAGAAGAAAGAAAATCTAGGAATACAAATCAAGAAAATGAAAGAAAATTCCATGGAGCAAAGAACCCCAGGGCATCATGCATGCAAGGCAAGCACTCTACCACTGAGCTACCTTCCCAGCCCTGGAAGACCCTTTTCTAAGCTACTCCTATAAAGACCAGAATAAGGACTGGGAAAGTGGCTCAGTGGTAGAGTGCTTGCCTAGCATGCATGAGGCCCTGGGTTCGATTCCTCAACACCACATAAACAGAAAAGGCCAGGAGTGGCACTGTGGCTCCAGCGGTAGAGCGCTAGCCTTGAACTGAAGAGCTGAAGGACAGCACCCAGTCCCAGAGTTCAGGTACCATGACCGGCAAAATAAATAACACACACACACACACACCACGACCAGAATAAATAAACTGACACACACACACCACGACCAGAATAACACACACACACACACCACGACCAGAATAAATAAACTGAGTGGACACACACACACAGACACACAGACACACACACAGACACACACACACACAGACACACACACAGACACACACACACACACACACACACACACACACACACACAAACACACACACCACGACCAGAATAAATAAACTGAGTGGCAAATAATGGCAAAAAAAGCAACTATGTTGAGTTGTTTTGGTTTTTTTTTTTTTAAGTTTTAGCAAGAATTTATTCTAGTGCAACAAGTTTAAAGTAGGGAGAACAGGAAAAAGAGAAACATTTCCTATTCCCCATGCAGGAAATGGGAGTTAAAAACTCCTACTTCAGGGGCTGGGAAGGTGGCTCAGTGGTAGAGCACTTGACTTGCATGCCTGAGGCCCTGGGTTCGATCACCACATAAGCAAAAAGAATTAAAGCCGGAAGTGGCGCTGTGGCTCAAGTGATACAGTGCTAGCCTTGAACTGAAGAGCTGAGGGACAGCGCCCAGGCCCAGAGTTCAGGCCACATGACAGGACCCCCCCGCAAAAAAAAGAACCAGTATTAGCACCCTTCATCACACACACACACACCCCAAAAAAAAGAAACTAAAAAACTTGGAACTATATCTGTTTGGGGTATGGAATGGTATCAAACCCAGAGCCTCAGGCATGTTGGGCATGCATGCTTAACTGAGCTACATTCTCCAATTTGAATTGTACCTTTTAATTTAGAGTTTTAGACAATCTACAAAATTAGCAGCATCAAAAGTGAGAAGGGGAAAAAAAGAACTAATCACTCCAAAATACCAATTCTGAAAACACCTTGTAAAACAACTCCAAAAAGCCTAAAATGAAAAAAAATATGAAATCTAGAGATGAAAAGGTATTCTCATGTAACAGTTATAACTCCATTTCCACACTATTATAAACTAATTAATCACCATCAACAACAACAACAAAAACTCTTATTATTTTCTTGGGGTGAAAGGACATCCTGGACCAAGCACCTTTGGTTCACGCCTATAATCCTAGCTACTTAGGAGGCTGAGATCTGAGGATCCAGGTTCAAAACCAGCCTGGGCAGGAAACTCAGTGAGACTCTTAATGCCAATAAACCATTCAGAAAACCAGGGAGCTCAAGTGGTGGAGCACTAGCCTTGAGCTGAAGAGCTGAGGGACAGCACCCAGGCCCAGAGTTCAAAGCCCACTACCAACAAAGAAAAAAAAAGGAAAAATAAAAAGACATCTTTGGTATAAATTTAAAGCCTTGGGACTTATCTCTTTGCATTTCTTTTTTTTTTTT